AGTTGGTTCGTCGTTGTACACAAACTAATATTATAGCAAATTAATTATACAACATCGCGGTAATGGCTTAAATTTGCAACAATTAGCACTACTACAACTACCTTATCGCAACCGTTAATGGCAATAGAAACACTTTTCCTTCCTCCAATTGTATACTTTTTTTTTTAATGACGCGACGATACCTGTTGAATCTTTTACCTTTTCATTGCTACGAAGTTTACTCATTATCACTAGCGCGTGTAAAATTTACAATTTCGATTTTAGCGCCACAAAGTGAATAAAAAAAATATGATTTGTTGTAAAACAGGTACATACTTATAAATACCGAACAATTATAGCAAATAAACAATTTTTAAAATCTAGGTATAAGCTGTTAAACAACTCAATGCTATCTACGACAATGTTTATGGACAATGCATCGAACGTGTTAGAGTACTAACATAGATTATATAAAAATAATGTAATCTGTGGTACTAATTTCTACTTAATTACAAAATAAAGTTGTAAATTAATGTGTAATTATAAATTTACCTAAATGTTGTGATGAATCAATTAATGATCTAAACGCTTTGATCTCTTGGACGGTATACGGTTCTAGTCTACTCGTTCTATCCTTGTCATCCACACGTTATAACAGTTACCAACCAAATTTGGGAAGATTTATCCATCATCTAGTTAACAACGAATGTATAGATATCGGCTTTCACGTATCTTTTATTCTGCACGAATTCAACTTAGTTCCTAAATTAATTGTATTTTTATGATAATATTTTCCAGTTTAAGGCTATAATGTGCGCCATTAAAGTATGGATATCGTTTTGCGTGTCCCAATGGTATTACATTTCAGTTGTAATATACATGCATAGTTTAATGGAACAGTAAACGTCAAAATTCAATGAATGGAACGGAATTTGCATGAGGAGAATAAAGAAAACGTTGCTATCGACTCATAGTTAATTTTTTTTTTTTTTTGTAAACAACCGATATTTGGAGAATGTCTTAATTTATTATAAAATGTATTGGAATTGTCACAATTGGAATTTAAACAGACACGCTGCCATTGGAGCACACATCCGTTTGTGTTTTATTTCTATTAATACTATGTATGTAAATTTGTTTTCATCTCGTTTCCTGTGGATTTTTTGAGTAGGAAATCGTATTATAACGACATATTGGTTAAGTGGTAGAGCGTCGTCGACGTCCGAAATTCGTTTTTATATTGTATGTAAACCTAAAGGTTTGACGGTCCTAAAATCGTGACAGGTTCTATTCAAACTAATGACCGGGAGGAATAAAATACACAAAACAGTTAAATGATATTTATTTGAAACAGAGTTGATTACAACCCGATATCGTCGAGCTAGTATAATTTTTTTTACATTATTTTTACAAGCCCGATTGGAATTGGTTTTTATTTTCTGTAAAACAAAACTTTCGTCAATGACATGATATCAAAACCGAAAAAGTAAAAAACTAAATTTAGACGATAAAAAAAAAATGACAATTTAACATTCACTCGTCGTCCGGAGGGACGTAAAAAAACGCCCATAAAGAGTTACAAAACATAAAGTAGTTTTTATCTTACCGCATTTTGGCCGTATGTTCCTTATCAATGCGAAGACAGGGAATTTACCAAGTGATTTCATCGCCAAAACACTAGCGTCACGCCCGATATAAATCTAATACATTAAAAATTCTATCGAGAAGTTTATAGTAAATTCCATCTGCCACCGTGATAAAACTTACAAACTTATAATAAATAAAAAAAAGCAACGAAAGCGGTAAAAATGAAACGGATCAGCAGTTCGGCAATAGGCGACGCTCTACAGTTAATTTTATTATACTGACAATGTATTGACGAACTATAAGTATTTAATACCTAGGATAGTAATTAACTTATGGAGACATTTATTTAGTATTCATAACAAGGACTCCAGTTTGGACTAACATAAATTGATTTAAAGTTAACGGCATTTTGTTGTATATTCATAATTGATTTATTATCCGTTTAGCAGAGGACCTGCTATAATTGGGTAAATTTATGATAAACAGCATTTTGCTAGGTTGACTAATTAGAACAACAGAATTATTAGAACAATTAGCAGCATATTGAATTATTCATAGTAACAATAGACGTGATTTGAAAGTGCTAACGTATGTTATACGGTTTGATACGCCAATAGACAAATTTTAATAATTTTTATTGACTAAATTGATAAAGTGTATATTACAAACTCTAACGAAAATTGATTGCTGTTATGCTACACCATACACAATCGCTTAGTATAGTAGAGTTTAAAAAAGGGGCTAAATTTAGCGTAGGTGTCATTGACTGCGTGACCTTCCTCAACAACCAATGGATTTTTTAATAATACCCTATTGTTACGTTTCAAACGACTACTGCAGTTTGCACGTGATATTTTTACAATAATTATTATTATTTGTTTACAAAGGTAAACAAATATTATACAAAATATGCGAGTAGGTAACGTTGATAATGGGTTGTTTTCTAATAGACAGAAATCTTTTTATTTTTTTCCTTATGAATGTGGCTCAAAAGGTGAAGCGTTCAACGATTTGTGAATGAAACCGCTGCTACGGCGCGATTGTTTATCGAACACCGCTCGTGTGCCATTTGGTTCAGACAATTGAATCGATTATTTTTTTGTTGTTTGTTCTTTACTACCACCGTGCACTTAAACTATAACCGCAATCAATAGGCCTATTGTACACCTATATAGGCCTTAGTGATTGTGTATATATAAAAACATATTATACCTATTAAGTCGAACTGTGAACACGCACAAAGCTTAGCCAATCCGGGATCGACCGTATTTTCCCATAAGAGTTTTCAAGATTTACCTACAAATCATGGGAAAATATAATAATACATAATATTATTGTTCCATCGCGTTATTGTACGATAGGAGTTAGTCAATATATTTTAACGTTTCGGATGAACGCTGTGAAACAAGTAATTTTTCATTTATCCACTAGCCATACAACCCGGATTAAGCCCGGCTAATGTTTTTGGGGAAAACTATAATAACAACAACATATTGTTCTGCAAATTCCCATCCGTGTAGACAAAACGAGTACACGACCGAATATGTCAATGGTTTGAAATCAAATATTATGTTTCGCAGCGTTATTTACCGTCGCTTTTATTTGGAAAAATACCGAGCTAATAATTTCCTTGGGCCACTTTCGAGACAAAGCTGTCTGACCGTAAAATCATCATAAAACACTGTCAGCGCCTCGGGGGTGCGTACCGAATCATCAAGCTTTTTAAGCGCAACTTATGCACAAATATAGGCCCTTTTTTTTATTTTCATTTCAATCGGTTATACTTGATTTTCGAATTTCAAACATGCAAAACAACGCGGGGCCTATAAACATCACAACATCATGCGTGCAAAAACAATATTTTTATCGTTTCAAAAGCGTTGCCGGCGGACAAGTAGTCGGTAATAATATGCGCCGTCAAAAACGATTTACCACCAGTAAACATAATAATATACCGTCGGTCTTCCTGTCGGTGGCAGCTCTCAGCATTGCGTTGTGTGTACAGCAGTACGTTCAATATACATTATTACAATTATTACAGATAACTATAAATTATTGTTATTATTATTGTTATAACCGACTACTAAACACTCGGAAAATGTCCCAGAATGTCCCTTGAAAACATAATGCCATTTGCGTGCATTCATCGCATTGTTGCTGCTCTCGGCTCAGTTTACAACATGGTAAACGACAGACATCCAAAACCGATTGTAGTTTTCCAACAGCTGCTCTTGAGCATATGCGTTTCAAGATTTTGACAAACGACACCCCCCCCCTCCCTCGGTTACGGATATCCATCGATAAGCTTAACATTCTTAAAAGGACCGATATATTAGTTGAATATGTTAATTTCTACGAAACAGCCACGCGAAGACTGTTTGCAGAAATTAACAGAAATTCATCAGCATCGCCCGAGAGGTGGCCAGTCTCTGTAGCTTCTTCGGTCGATGTGCGAACAAAGGATAGTATACGTTATAGATGAAGTCAATAAAAATTATTATTCTACGATAATAGGGTATTGTTTAGCGTGTTCTTTTTTTTTTTTCTTACCAAATTGCTCCGAGTTATTCGAAGAAGGGCAAACTCATGCACCGAGATATTCCATTATTTTATTATATACGGTTTTAAAGCAGCGCCATTTCATTGTTGGATTTTGGTCATTAAATCTAAAATTGAAGCCGATGAATGGCCAACGGGAAAAACTACTCGGTATAATATTATTTGTATGCACGGTAACTCGATCGTTTTTACAGAAGAAATCCGATATGCGACAACTGTCCGTTGGATATATGACAATGTAACATTATAAAAATGATGCCCACGCGACAACGACGGTCGTTACAATACTATAGTCGGTGGTGGTCAGTGATCACTGGTCAGTGGTCATTGTCGGAAATCATGTACACGACCCCATGGCCAAGGTCGTATTTGAAAAATTATGTCTGCTTTAGTGTTAGTCCCCGTAGTTTATTGATTTTTGTGTGTGTAAAAAAACATACGTTCTACTAGTGAACCGTTCTCTTAGAAGTTACTAATGAAAGGGGTTGGTCATTCGACAGAGAAAAGCTTAGGTTCACCGGTTTCGGTCCTTTATTTTGTACATGGTCTTTGTCACCTGTATAATTACAAATATATATATACTATAATACATTGTTATTTTGTGCTATTATAATTGCACATTCATTTCGGGTTCCCTGGTCAGATTTTACAAATCTTTGGCTCGTATTGAACGTTAACAACAATAATAATATATATATATATAAATATCTGGTCGTTAGACCGGAAAGACAATTACTCGGGAAGAATGCAATATTTTTCATTTTTAGCAAAAGACCCTATACAGGTATTTTTTTTCTATTGCTTCACAAAAAAAAAACAACGACGCGCATTTGATTCGTAGTGTTTGGACGGGAAAAAAACTAATAGGTACTGACCTGAAAGTACAAAACCAGCTTGCACGCCAACGTCCCCATAAACCAAGTTTCCGTCACGTCCCACAGCACGGTGGGCGGCAAGCAAATCAAAATCACCAGGAAATCGGCTACAGCCAAGTTGACGATAAAGTAATTTGTAACGGTCCGCATCGTTCGGTTTCTAGAAACGAGAACAAAATAAATGTATTAATATTAAATCATAGAATTTTTCAGTACTTGTTGACTTAATAGTAATGATTTACAAGTATTCGAGAGATCTCAAACCATGTGATCGGTGCACTTTATTGTTATAATATAAAGTTGTCTACGATCGACATAATATTTAATATTCAACCAATTTCACTGAGTCATGACACATTAAGGTTAAACAAATGATAAAAGATATATTTAAAGGCAAACGTTGGCATTTATGCCTTTTTTATATTTGTCCACTGATGGTTTTGCTTTATGTGATTCAGATAAAGGTCACAGGTCGTTGTTGGTATAAGAGTTGTAACCTTTAACTTTTAAAAATTTATGAAACATAAATGTAAAACGGCCGTAAATATATAAAAATTCCTAAAATGAGAACAGAACTCTGTCACTTTTGACAATTGATAGCATTGTCACAGATTTTATGTTCTTTTAATATTTTGATTAATAACAATAGACGTTGGTCGTACAAATAACTTTATGGACAGTGAACTCACTTATTAGTCGACAGGCTAGATTTATAGAACTGAATCGGAGACCACCTAGATGTATTAGGTTAAGACATCAAATAGCACTGGCGCCTAACGTTAGTGTATTTGAATAACGCCTTTTGTTCAATCTCATACTTCAGTCTCAATTTAATCTCATAGTATTATTAGTTTTGCATACATACATCAATGTCTCGGTGTTGGATGGATACATGTATGTCAAAAAAAAAACCGAAAACAAATTTAAAATTTAATAAAAGCCATTTCAAAAATATAGTAGACTATGCCGAAAAGGTAGGAAAACATGCGTTCTAAAAGTCGAATTAACTTGTCATACAGAAGCTGAATTTAAATTGAGAAACTTCTCCAATAGTGTAACTCAGTTTTGAGTCGACGGATAACACGGTTTCATATTAGTATACTGATCCGTTTGTCCAATGTCTACGCTTCGTCAAAACACCTTGCTGTTAATATAACTTCATCGACGTGATAAAAATATTATGTTTAATCGTACAAAGACATAGGTCTAGGCAAGTTAACGATTTAAAAAATAAATAAAGTGTTATTAATGATTGCTATTAACTAAAAAAATCTTAAATATAACATTATGACTAAAACATTTAACAAGGAAAAGTAAAGTGGCTAAGTTTATAATATTATGAATTATAATTTGTTCGTCGAATCTAAAAATATAATAGTTTTAAAATATTTACACTCTAATTAGATACATAAATAAAAAGTCAGTACAGTGGGGACGGGATATAAAGAGAATGGAGCATAATGAGGACGGAGGAAGTCAAAGGTCTTTAAATTAAAGCAATTATTATAACTGAAAGTGATACAATCACTTTTAAATAAACGCTTCTGTGCGAATCTGAGGTAAGTTATTATGTAGCTCAGTTCAAATTTATACAGTCCACCCCAGCACAATCAGAAAGTACCTAAGTGAGGCCCACTGTCCACAGATTCACATCGAAGAGTTTATTTGAAAGTGATTATATCACTTTCAGTTATAATAATTCCTATAGGTCTATGATCTATATATACTATACCCTACTGCACTGTATTAACTTTTTTGTTATTTTTTTACTTAATAAAAACAATTTACCATACATGTTTTTATGAAATTAGGTGGACTTTAATGTTGTTTACATCTACGGGCAATCTTACACGTCCATCTTTCTCACCTAAATTAAACTTGAAAAACTAATAACTGAAAAACTATTTAGTTACAGACCATTGTTATCAATACATAATCCTGCCTATAATTAATTAATATTTGTAATTAAAATATTATGTATTATATTATTATGTAGATTGCTATTTTACTTTAAAAATTATCACTTTAAAGCAATTCGTTTACTTAAATATTAAGTATAAACCATATAATTTTTGATAATTTAATAAAATAACAATTTTATTTAAACCTCTTTTGGCTAACCCAATTATTTCATAGAAAAAGTAACTGTAACATTTAAAATTTGGTTAACCCTGTATAATGTTTAACTAAAAATGAAATAGACGTTTAAAAAAATCATGACTAGTTGGCTTTAATTAGGTGATGAGTATATATGAATAGTTTTAGGACGATCATTAAAATAAGAGTACTGATTACCGTTTTAAAATTCAGGACATGTTTTTCAATTCAGAAATTGTAGATCAACTTTATTTTCACTTGTTACCAAAAATGAACGGTGAACCATTGATATGTTTATATAATTTCCTCCTAGTTAAACTTTCAGCGACATATTTTTTTATACAATCGTTTATATTTTACACTAAATTTGTTTACAAGTAAAAAAGTGTACATAATGATGCGTTAGAAGAGAACGAGTGGTCGAGAGTGTAAAGGGACACTGTTTGACATCCATTGTCGCAAGTCAGACACTCGATCACAGAACCTACTACCCATATATCCGCGAAGGGCTAACGACCCGTCCCGAAAGAACGAATTTATTGTAATGGTCTCATTTTGGGCTTTTAAGCTAACGAAAAAATAATATGTTTTATATATTTGTGTACACATAGGCTGTTATAGTAATTTTATAGTCGCAGGCTAATATGTTAAAATCTATTTCAAAATCCAACCGTTTGAATTTCTAGAATTAATTTTTTTCTTGAAGATTATCTTACAAAAGCCACGATCATTGACTTTAAATCTGGATTTCTGGATTTCCCAGAATAGTTTTGATGTGCTAGTTTTTGTAGGAGACCGGTTTTGGTAGATACTAGAGATAGTAAATAATTGTTTGGTACTAGGGAGCTGCGGAGACTATGGCGAAGAAAATGATATTGTATACTTTGTCGAAATAGAACTTTGTTTGGTCATAACTTAATGATAAGTTCGTACCGAACGCGTCAGGATTCTGAAAGATAAATTTTCAAATTGGTTCCAAATTTCCGAAAAAGTTTTCTAAACGGTAATCGAATTTCGGCAATATTGTATTTTTGAACATAATGTTAGTGTATGACCGTTGTCTGGTTTTGAATTTTTAACATTTTTGTTGTTTTATCAAAGCAAACACTTTACCTATAAACTGCCACGCACACCAGAGCGTTGCCAATGAGTCCTACTACAAACACAACGGCGTGCATGACTATGAGCACCCATTCGGGCTTCTTAGGCGTCACGTAGTCCACCACATAGTTCTGGTATTCCTCATCGGTCATGTTGGCCGTTTCGTCGTAATCTGCAATGTCGGTTGAATTTCGAATCGAAGAAACTGTCGGCGTGACGTTCGCGTGACCATGAGCCAAGTCAACGAACAGAGCGTTTACCGCGATTAGCGTGCACGCCAGCCGCATGTTGGCGACCTCCTGACCCTGAAAAAACAGAAATTTTATATTTTTTTTTACACACATTATATAGGTATATGTTGGACAAAATATTTTGTTAGTATTGTGCCTCATGTACATCATTTCTCATATACACCATTTCTCCAGTTCTAAAAACCTCGGTCACAGGTTATTCGAGTGTATACATTGGGCATAAGTCAACTGTCGCAGACTAACTATGTTTATAAGTAGTGTCCGAATGTTAATGCATTATTCGGCTCTCCTTTTTTCAGTAAAGTCATTATTTAAACAAAAAAATATCTATATAATAAAAAAACACAAGGCACCATTCTGAAGATTGAAAGTACGTTTATAAATAAAGAACAGTGGGTGCGTTTTCTGGCTCGGTAGCGTGCATAGGTTTATTTAAAGCATATCTGCACTTCCATGAAACATCTGTCAATATCAATAATATATACGTTAAAATATTGGTATGTATTTCGTCAAGGCGGTTCGTTTTCGCTAAAATATTTCAGCACGAGCGTCCTTAGCGATTGTAATAAAATTATTTTTCAAACGAAAGAACAAAGGAAATCACTTTTTAACGGTGTAAAAATAAGCTATTTCTTTACCGGTACTATGTTGTTTGTCTAGTCGGAAGGAACTTTCCATATAAAACTCATAAAAATATAGTATTTTTTTCATTTTAAAGATTTTGCGTTAAATTATCTATCCCTAACCCATTGATAAAAATATGCAATGTGGCGTCCTCTTTAACGGTCAAATATAATCTGTTAAGGTTGATCTAAAATATCGTGAAAAATTCAATAATATAATTCAGTTGTGGTCTATGGTTTTTATTGATTTATTAATGAATGTCATGTTTTTGACTGTTATTTATATATATATATATATATATAAATAAATGAGATAATCATTTAGTTTATAAAAATATATCTTTTAAAATCGTTTATTTTCACTATAACTGAATTTTAAAAAATACATTTATTATTTTGAATATTTTTAGTATTGAAATTATTATTATCCATGGACCACGAGTGTACAGTTATGAAAAATTCTAAAAAATGACAAAAAAAAAGGGGGTTTTACAATTTTATTCAATAATGCAATTTAAAACGAAAACATATAAATAACGCGTACAACTGAAACTAAAATATAACGTGAAATTTACTTTTAAGTTTTCTCTTAAATATACTGTTAAGTGTAACCACACATTTCACATCATTAGCTTAATATAGTTGTTAGACGAACATTGAGAATTTCGATTTTGTTTGCACACAAGCGATAACAACGTGTAAACGATTTAATTTTCTTCCGACTCTTTTAGGCCAGAAAACATACCGTTATAATACAGTTTGTAAGAGATTCAACGGCGCGACAACTGTCAACTAATGTCGTTTGCAGAAGTCTTTCAAAATATGATGACATCGCATTGCGTGCACTTGTTTTGCCGCAAAGAAACCAAAAATACACATAATAAGATGAAAATATGATGATGGCAACCCGCAACATAGTTGTCCAAATACGGTAAGTACTTGCTGTTAAAAGTGAATTGTTTTTGTGGGTTTTAATAAATTATATTATTGTCCACAAGTCACTCAAGTTTTTATTTATACACGTGGTCTTGATCGCCTTCAAAATAACAAAGCCCGTTCTGCAGTTTGTTTATTGTGTTAGTAGTAGTGGTAATTTTACAGTGGTCGTTGGCATTTACGAATAGTAATTGAGCTATTAAAGTTAATAATTTCCCGTTGAAAAAAAAAGATTTAATGGTTTTGGGCGAGTGACCAAATGACATACGGTCTCGTTTAAAAAAAAATCCAGAAACCGCGCTGTTGATATTTTTTTCCTTAGAAAATGTAAAAAAAAAAAAAAATGATGCGTTTAAAGGAGCACAGCGAATACATAAATAACTTTCCGCACGAGCGCTTTTTTGTTGCTATATTATATTATAGTGCACGGTTAAATTGTATTTTACAAGTGAGACCATTCACGAACATCAGCCGTTTGACCGTTCGAGACGCTATAATAAAATGGAGCCTATTGGAATTATTCGCCCGTTTTAATTGAATAGTTCCTATTAAATATTATAATAAAAAAAAAAAAACAGATTTTTATACTTAGTATGTCTGTGTTAAAATAGCCATGGTAAAAAGTAAAAATGATCGTTAAGAACAGCTGTTACTTCCCATGCGGAACAAAACTTGTTTTTTAAATATGATAAAATAATTATAAATTTATATTTTAATGTTAAAAAATATGTTATTTTTACAAGAAAAACCAACAACAATAATCAAAAGAATACTAATTAAAATATTAATTACGAAAGTATTAATTTTATAGATTTTTGCTTTTGATATTGTTAGAAAAATCAACAAGAATAAAAAAATCCAACGTATATTTTCATGACCTTTTTTTCCCGTCCATGTTTTACATGACATGTCAAAATAATATAATATGACATGTCAAAATTGTTGTGAATATAAAATAAACTAAAAATGCATACATAGATTATAATGTTGTCTGTTTGACTTATTTGGTTTTAATTACTGCACCAAAAGATGCAGGGAAAATCAGAGTACATAAAATGCTCATAGTGACGAACCATACAGGGATGGTCCAAAATTTAGCTATTCCCTAATGGACTGCGTTTATTTTAAATACTATGTTACTAGAATCTCTACTGGCTACTCTGAACAGCTATTCTAAGGGAACTGAATTAATAGTAGTAAATTATTTAGATAATAGTCCAAATACTTCGTTCAACAAACGCCAATGACGAGATGATATCTTTAAAAATAACCTTATTTGTATCAATTTTGAAATTCTTAGTTATTCCTTTGTACGAATATCTCAGTCTTTTTACATTTTTCAAAACATATTGGCTTTACCAAACACAATTGAACTAATTATCAACATTTCGGATAAAACACTAGTTGGTTTTTTAAAGAAGAAAAATTAAGATCTGCTCTATTTTGTTGTAGTTAAATTTAAATACTTTAAAATATGTTTAGGATAAACTATTTTTAAAAATAGTCAACTGGAGTGTGCTGTGCCGTCTTTCTTCCTTAACAAATAAAATCGTTTAACATTAAAAATGTTGACACCTCGTATTAGAGTCAGTTACTTGATACAGAAGTTTAATACAAGGAAACGTCAATGTACTTGGCCATCGCCCGGAGCATCTACTGTATAAGTAAAAAAACCATTTCGGGGTATGTAAAAAATATATATTTCTGCACCGACAACTCACACTCCGGTTTCATTACCAAGACTTGTCGAAAAGAGTTGTTTGCGATTTTCGATAATGGTCCAGACGGTTGCATTAGCAGTCCATTATTATATTAAAATGTTCAATACTTATATTGTATTTCTCCGCTGTACTTACCTGTGATATAATATGATATAGGTTAAGTGCACCGCGATACAAAAAAAAACACAAAGAAATAATAATAAAAATTTATTTTTGAGCTTCCTCCAGCTGTTGTTGTTCTGGAGCATTTCACATATTATGAAAACATGTATAATATGTCTGGTGACTTAAATACCGTTTTATGCGAAACGCATCGTCTTAGCACATATTTCTAAAATAAAACAATCGTTTAATTCAATTTTCATACTGTAAGCCCTATATTTTTTCAATAAGATTTATTCATGCCAAATCATAACAATCTCTTCTCTCTCTTTTTGTCATACTATTTGTCCGACTTCCTAAGTAATTTCCATGTTTATAATTCAGTTTATGATTCAACAGAATGAATGTACAGATATATTTCATCATTTTCCGTTTATCTCTCTTTTTTCTTAGTATTTACCCAGCACCAACATCCATACATATAATCACTGGCACCTGGCATCACTACAGTGCAGCTGTTTATTATACAATTAACCTGTCACTCTAATTGACAATTTTTTGTCACAAACCCACGATATGTCACTTCATTCCTCCTCATCGGATCTAATAACTCATGTCAAATACTCAACTTTCTCAGAAATCGTTATTGAAGCATATCAGGAATAACTAATTTTTATTATAAATAGCATTCTATTTGTTCGCTTATAATTACTGGTAGTATTCAGCCATTTTAGTATACCGACTCAATCATTTGAATTTAACATTTATTTTTGCCCATACAATATTTTTCTAATGTAAATCTTATAATTTTATCAAATAAAAGTGACTTCTTTATCAAATGTATCACATGTTTTGTATTATACCAACACATATACTAATTATGCTTAAAATTGTACAAATTGTATAGTTTCTCAATAATAAAAAAAAACTCATAATCAAGATATTGTTCAACTTTCAAATAACCTGGTAAATGAAATATGCATGTACAATTTACTAAATTTCTATTGTGTTATATTGTCGAAGCAATTAAAGTTTAACGAATATAATTGGGCATTGGAATACACCATCGAACTTGCACAATGCGAATCTACGCGAATAATGAACGCAAACGTCATGTTATATTCATTCGTTATTTATAGATTTTTTTTATGTGCTTGACGCTTGTACGTTAAATTAATCATTGTATACATTTTGTGCTCGAGTGGTCAATATTATTTGGCAACCCAACAATAATTTACGAACTATACATATTGCATTTTGTGTAAGTACTAAGTTCGTAATGGCTCAATTATTGTGTTATCTCAAAAAAAAAAAAAAAATTATATATATATAAAATGACAAGTAACGTCAATAATTTGGTCGTTTTCATAAATAACGAACGAGTTAGGCGTAGCCACCCCGTAGCCGTTGATGTAGCGATAACGCCATGCCAAAAAGACGTTGCCCATAGCAAATCTCATCCATAAGTCATTGGTCAAACACAGACCTCGTGCACTTTATTAGACAACATCTGTCTTGAAAAATATGAATTCATCGCTGTTGATCCCATACATAAAAACACCCGAGTGAATACAATATTGTTATGTTAGTTATCCATTAGAAATCTATTAAACAGCCGCCGAGGTAGTGCCTTTAAACGGTTCTCGCCGTAACACTAACGCTCGTTGCATCT